TAGTTACTCATCTGGAGGTTCTTGTAACTCCATCTACACTGCAGAACATCACCGCCCTACTCTGAACTCTTTGTGGAACCCATCCCACAGGTTGCCTCCATGGTCAAACACCCTAGCAGCTTGGAACTAGTAAGTGGTACAGACTTCCGTACTCCACTAGAAGAAAGAGGGAAAAGTGGAGAGTCCAGAGGGACTGCAACACCCAAGACAGTGAATGGGTGATCATGAAACCCTATTTTTAAGAGCAGACCACACCAATTGATTCAATCTAGGCATGGCACAGATAGGCATCAATCCCCTTCTGCATTACCCATGCTGTCCATGGGTGGTATAGTTTGGGAACGGCATATTATGATGCAATTACCACAAAGAATTTGCATTCTAGTGATCTTGTGAAACACCCCATCTCAAAGGTGAGTGTACATAGCCATGATAAATGTTTAAGAATCAACATGGCTTACAGTGCAGATTTGATAGCAAGATGTCTGTGAATGGTTATAGCCATCTAAGTGAAACCCATTCGAAGTACAGACAGAATACCTGGTCAGGCACCATTTGCCATAGAGTGTGATACAAAGTGAAGCTGATGTAGGGACCTCTGAAAGAAAGCAATAGTAAGGACTTACTTCATACCAAAGCTACACTGAAGTCTGTAAAATAACTAAAGGCAGCAGGCGATATCCCAAGGAAGCAGAAACAACAATGTGGTGTAGGTAGTGGGAGATGAATGTGTGCAGAGTTGTCAACATGCCCAATCATAGAATCTCCTCCATTGGCTGACAAAGACGAGAAGCAAGAGAGAAGGTAAGGTGACGGATTTCACGTGAGGAAATGTGAAAGGGATCATGCTGGGATGGAGATAAAGAAGAATAGGCCAACTGGATCAAATGTTGAACCCAACTGATGAGGGCAACCAATGAAAGGTCATGGGAAGAGAAAGGTTGCCAAGGGATAAAAAGGCGGGAAGGAGGCCCCTGGAAGGAAGTTGTGTAAGCAATATAACAATGGAAGTCATGGACAGGATAGAGGAGTCTATTCAGATCAGGATGAGGGTAGAGATGTGATATAGAAAGAATATGCAGATAGGGGAAGAGGAGGACTAACTTTCTCGAGCTACAGAGGTCTTAGGAAGGAAAGCATGATCCAGATAAAGGATAAGGTAGGAGGAGTGGTACAAGATCCTGGTAATGCAGAGGACATAAATATCTGATCTATGATGCCCGTAGGCCAGGAGGAGGAGGAAATATGCCTTCAAAGAGAGGTGATGAACAACAGATGCCGCCATGGCCAACGGAGCCAGAAGGAACAGATCAACATGGAAAGGACAAGGGGAAGCAAAGACCACGCAGAAATGGAAAAAATAGAAGGAATGGGATAATGCTGCCCAAAATGAGGAGACTGAATAACCCCTCTCAAAGAGCCACATGAGAAATCTGTGATACTGGGTTACTGAAACCCAGTAACCCCATGTTAATACCCAGGAGGGATAAATGCTCCTTTGGATTGATAGATGGCCAAAGAAGAAGGGCAAATCGAATGGGCTAAATGTGAAGCTACTCTGCAAGAGAAACCAAAAACTCCTTGCCAAGGACCTGACAAAAGGCAGGGGTGGAAACAGAGGATGGATGGTGTGGGATGGAGCACCAGTGACTGAGCAGGCTGGGATGGAAGGAAAGAGGAAGTGGAGGGGCCACCTGCAGTTGGAGCAACTGATGGAACCAAAGTTTAGTGGGCCACTAAGGAGCAATTAGAATGACCATGCATGGAGTGGCATGGATGTGGGAGACCACCTAATGAAGTAAATGGATGGGAGGGTAAACATAAAGGAGCACATGAGACCAATCTTAACTAAAGGCATCGACAGCCAGGGCTCAAGGATGGGGAACTAGGGACCAAAACCAGGGTAATTTGTGATTGAGGGCAGTGGCATACACAGTTGCAGAAAGAGCCACTGAAAATGGCAGAAAGCAGGGAACACTGTGGGATCAATGCAGTCTGGTTGGGAAAGGTGATCAGCTACAAGATTGAAAGCACTCAGTACATGACATGTCATCAAATGAATTCAATGTGTGTGGGCCAAATAAAGAAGATCTATAGGGCAAAAACACGGGGATCTGGACCTTGGTGATTGATATAAGTCATTATGGTAGAATTTTCGGAATGGATCATAATCAGCCAGCGGCTGGCAAAAGAAATAAAATGATCCAAAGCCCAACAAACAGCCAGGAGTTCAAGAACATTAATGTGAAGAGAACTCTCCTTCACAAACTAACAACATGAAACCTCCTGGTGATCCACCCAGTCCTGAAAGGATGCATCAGTTAACAGATGTAAATTTAGCTGCAAAGGAGGAAGCAGGAATTTCACCAATGTGTGGGCCCTGTTTACCAATGGAGA